TTTAGATGAAACATTCTTCATTTCATGTACCTTAAAAGGCTTATATTTCACCTGACATCAGTTTCCTAGCATAAAGCAACATGATTTGCCAAGGATGTTTTGTAACTGTTTACTCTGATGTGAAAGGGAGGAAAAAAGCTAGTAGCTGATTTCTGCTGAGCTACTATAGGTAGTGGGTGAATCAATGCACTGAAAGGAACTATAGCTAGCTTTTTCCATTGCTCATTCCTAGATTTTGAGAATCATTATTTGATATTCGTTTTAATTGTTATTTTGCTGGATTAAAAAAAATACTTTCAAACAGGAGAAGAACAGAACAATAGGATTGAGCTGTAGGCTGAAATATCAGTTGAACAACCTCAGCAAAAAAAAGAGGAGAGATTCAGCTTTGCATGACTATATTGAAGGCTGGGGTCATATTTTAAACCAATTATCCCTTAGTGTCTTGGTGATAAATGGGATGCACTGTACACGCGCCCATTATCTTACTGACTAGGCTGCACTGGTAGAAAGAAGGATGCTACTGAGAAGGAAAGAAAAGGCTATATATGTGACAAACCCAGACCTACTGGGATCTGCCACACAGTTACCCTAAGCTGCCACCAACCATTCCCTATAAGAAGTCACACAGACTAGGGATGGATTTTTAAACAATAAAAAGAATTAGGTTTATTTAAATACACACAGGGAAAAATAAACAATCAGGTGAATAGGATAAAGTAACGTGGCTTATTCTCACTCATACAAGCATACAGTTTGGTTCACCCAGAACCCTTAACTTAAAGCACAGACCCTGAACCTATCAGTTCTGGCTACCCAACAGACACCTGAACCTATCAGGTTGGTACTCTGACACACAGTAGTACCCTGTCTGACACACAGACTCCCACACCAACTCCTTCTTCCCAGCTGCTGCTTCGTCTGCTTAGCTTCTCCACACACGCATCACATATTTATACAGTACAGCCCCTCCTCCTGATGTCCCGCCTTCCACTCCCCATAGGATGGAACTTTCCCTCCAAACCCATGACAGACAGGTAACATCAGTGCTGTATGTAACAATATATATTTAGCTTCAGTTCCTTTTGTGAATGCCAGATGCCTCACCTCAATTTGTCTCTAGCCATCAGAAGTACCTTCTGCAAGTTGTGCCTCATCAAAAGGACAGGTATATATAAAAAGAAGCCCAGTGAAGTAGGAGGCCGGGTGTGCCACAAATACGCCACTATTCAGATTACAAACAGACATTAGGAGAGGTCCTTAGCAGCTGCTGAAAACAACAGCACGACATTCCCCCCCTTTCCCCAGTAGTACAATCACCATTAGCTTCTCTCTTTTCCTGTTTCTGCTCTATATTTTACTGGATAATCATTATATGGTTGGGAAAATGCATACTGTGGCTATTAGGACTGACCTTACCCTTCATACCGAAGTGAGCAGTTTTTGGAAGCCTGGATGCCACACACACCTGTCCTAGGAACTAGAGGTGTGTGCTATGGCATCCTCTTCTGCAACACACACCGAAGAGACCTCCATACACCCTCTAGCGGCCAGAAATATATTTTTAAAAGATTGGGAATGTTCTGAGTGACCCCAGGGATGCTGGAACTTCTCAAAACATGGAAGTATCGGCACCCACACTGTCTTGAGGGCATTACAGGATTTTCTGAACCAATATTTTTGGAGGTACTATCTGTGTGTAGGTCCTGGGGGGCTTAATGTCACCACAGAGTACATGTAGCCCAGCCCTGCTTTAGCCTTACTTACGTAAGTGTTCTGCCTAAAACCATGTAAAAAGGTAAAAGGATACCGGGGGAAAGGTGCAAACATACACCCCACTGCCATTCTGTCCCTGTCTGGAAGTCACTCACATCTTTATGTGAGGAATGCAAAGATAGGAACCAGAATCTGTAAGCATGTTCAGCTGAACACACTTATAGGATTGTGTAACTGGGTGCACAAGCCCCAGCTATGTGACATTTCTGCTTCAGACCTTTGTGTCCCTCAAACTAAGGCCTGAGTAGTTTCAGGGTGACAAGGAGATGTGCATCCCATGTCCAAACCACCGTATACAAATACAGTTTCAAGTGTAATGAATGAATAGGCCTATAGTGATGCCTCCACCTCAGAAGAGTTGACAGGGCTTAAGTTGCCAGCTGAAGTCTCAATGAGTTGTCCTGCTTCTTTAGCTCCTTGTGTGGATGAACAAATCTCAATGGGAAGAACAAGCTTCATCCTTGTGTATGGGTACTTGTCTATACCCCTTCCCAGATGGCAGCTGGACTCCTGTTTCTATGTGTGCTGTGTTTTTGCAATAGCACACTAGAATGCCAGAGGCAAAGGGAGAAAACTGAGAAGAGACTTGGTGGGCTTTGTGGACACTGTGCCACTTAAGGCAAGGCAAAGCATGCTGATGTAACATGAGCTAGAGATAGGGACGATTCAAAAATTGCTTTTCGTTTTGATCTGTTATTCGTCAAGGTTAACAAATCAATGAATACGAATATACGAATATTCTTTGACGAATCAATGAATCGATCCTTCAATTCGTCTGCACTTTAAATAGCTATAACACTGGCCTCCAATGCCCTAGAGACACAAGATCTGCAGGGAAGCTTCCTCAGATGCTTTTCTACAACTCCTGAATGACTGATGAACATTGGATCATGGACCTCCAAGTTATATAGTCACAAAGAGGATCCCCCCAGGAAAGCTCCCCCAGGTACTTAGAGAGGCCAGAATCACAATGAAGCTTCCTATGTCTTTCCCCAACATGCCTTCCAATTGAAGATTGGATATCAGAACTCCAAGTTATTCACCCACAAATTGGGTTCCCCCAGGAGAGTTTACCACATGGCACAGAAGCCCATGGCATTGAGGGAGTTATATTTAGCTCCAGCAGAATGAGAGGTCCCTTTGGCAGAGGCATCAAGTTTGTCTTCAGCTCAGCACAACATTATATTTGCCAGTGAAGCAGAGTTTGCCCTCAGAAGTACTGGATGCAAGGAGGTATTTGGCAGCACAGAAGGCTTTTTGGCTCCGTCGGGAATTGAGGAAGCTGGCAGAAGGAAAACAGGCTCTTTTGGCCCCATCGGGCACTGAGGGAAAAGGCAGCAGCAAAGTACCGTGTCTTGCCGCATCGGGGCACTGAGGCAAAAGGCAGCAGAGCAGACTCTGGTCTTCTTCAGCAACATCAGATTTGCCTGCAAAGGAAAGGTTTTTGCTCCCAGGAAGCAACCAAGGTTGCTTGCAACTTCCAACAGCACCAGCAGCAACATCAGATGAACAGGATTGGTGCTGCTAACACCATCTCAAGCCATGTGATGGGGTGATGCCTGGACAGGCTTTTGGGCCCCATTGGGGCACTGAGGTAAGTTGGCAGCAGCAAAGTAGAGTGTATTGCCCCGTCGGGCACTCAGGCACATGGCAGCCGGAAAGCAAGTTTTTGGGCCCTATCGGGCACTCAGGCACACAGCAGCTGGAAAGCAGGCTTTTGGGTCCCATTGGAACACTGAGGTACGTCCTGCAGTGCGGACAGGAACTCATCGGCAAGTCCTGCAGTGCAGACAAGAACTCATTGGCAATGTTCGTCCCCGTTGACTGAGCTTCCATGTGTCGTGCCTGCAGCAGAACGGACCTGTAGCCTGGGGGCAGGACAAGGGCCTCCCCCTGCAGTCCTGTTGCTGATGCCCTGCCACTACTCATGTCCTCTGGCTGCCACCAGTGAGCTGTGAGTGAGAGGTAGCCATGCTGACCTCCACTCCACAGGTCTGCTGTGAAGTACATCTTGCGCTCCTGTAGCCATGGAAAATGGTCACGGACCACCTCCTTCACAGTCATAGAGCAAGGGCAGCACTCTAGAACTGAGAGTTCTCCGTGAGGGGAGGTCGTACCGGGGGCAAAAAAATGCAGCAACTGGCGGACGGGTTGGGATTCCATGATGGACAGTGGAGGTCCGAGCAGGGCGATGGTCTCAGTGATGAGACAAGTGGCCACCTGCTGCGCCTTGCCTTTCTACCGCCAGCTGAGGGTCATGGCAGACCCAATGGGTGCCACTTCATGGAGTGTGGCCTGCCTCATGCTCCCGGCCCCAGAAACCCCTGGGGTTGCCCTTATGAAAGGAGGCACCTCCTCCTGCCCTTTGAAAACTGAATAATCCTCCCACCTAGAGACTCAGAGATGCCACCAAAAGGGGGAACAAATATAGACGAATATGAATGGATCAATGAATAAAACCGAGGAAATATTCGTCAACCCATATTCGTCCTGATTTAAAATTTTACAAATACGGATCGATGAATATATGACGAATTGGGTAAATTTTGCTGCCCGTCCGGAAAACTAAAATTGTGCCTCAGCCCCTCCCATTGCTACACTTTACTGTATTACCTGGTTAGTAGAGTTTCACCTAAATTGTGGGCTCTGGATACCATGGCTATTCTGCCATCAGCAGTTTTCATCCCCCTACCAACACTTGCTGCCCCGCCTCTGCTTTACTACGAGAACCCAGCTTTGTTACATCACAGTGCCTCACCTTGTAACATCACAAGGTCCTGAAATTTGAATGTATGGAACACTGCTGACGTGGCAAACCTACATCTCAGGTAGCAGATATGACATGGATTTCATAAGGGTAGCACAGTTATTTTTGCATTTTTACTAGGGGTGCAAGAAGGACTTGAAAAAGGTGCTATCCTTGGTGATATTCTAAGCCTTGCCATGTCAAGCCAAGATTCTCTGCTGAGACTTCTCACTGTACTAGTATGAATGAAATCCTGGTTTGTTTGTATATTTAACCTGCTGTTTTCATGGGAAACTGTCAAATTCTGCACATCTTAATGCTTTCCTGGTGAATTCCACACAGAAAATATGGTGTTCTGTTCTACCCATCTTACACAGTTTGATCTTTATTCCTTACATATAACCAGGAAAATTCAGAAAAATCCCACAAGATGTTTCAAGGGAGAATAATGCTTTGTAGACAAAGCTCCATTGATTCAAATGGGTGTACTTTAAAGGTACCATATTTTTTGCTCCATAAGATGCACTTTCCCCCCAAAAAAGTGTGTGTGGGGGAAGTCTGTGCGTCTTATGGAGCGAAGGTGGTGATTTCGCCCCCACTGGCCCCGTGGGGGGGAGCCTCCCTAGGGTCTGAGTGAACCTTCCAGGACCCTTGCGACGCTCCCCCACCCCCACGGGGCCATCACGGGCGAAATTGCCACCTGCTGGGACTCTTTTGAGGATTGGGATGCTTCAGAAGAGTTCCAGAAGGTGGCGATTTCGCTCCCTCTGGCCCTGTGGGGGGTGGGGGGAGCCTTCCAAGGTTCCGAGTCTGCCTTCCAGGACCCTTGGGAGGCTTCCTCCACTTCCCATGGGGCCAGCGGGCGCGAAATTGCCACCTTCTGGGACTCTTTTGAGGCTTGGGAAGCTTCAGAAGAGTCCCTGAAGAGAGTCTTTGGAGGCTTAGCCAGCCCCCCTGAAGGCAATTTCGCCCCCTCTGGCCTCTGGGGGGGGCTGGCTGAGCCTCCAAAGGGTCCTAGGGTGTGTTCCATAAGATGGGCCTCTCCATAAGGCTCACCAAATTTTTAGGAGAAGAAAACAGATTATTTTTTTCCTGTTCTCCTAAAAATTTGGTGGGTCTTATGGAGAGGTGCGTCTTATGGAGCAAAAATACGGTAATTTACTATGCCATAGTAGGCCATAGCTAAACTATGCCCCTTTGAATCAATGGAACTTACAAACAGGTTGACTCATTAAATCCTCCTAGATTCAGTTAGTCTTCTCTAGCATGATTTACTATGCTAAGCGACAAGATTTTAGCCATTGTTTCAGTCAGTATTTTGGACTTTTTCATTGGGGTTCCAATTGTCAATAAACACAGGGGAACCAGTCTTCTGTGACTTCCAGTCTAGCCCTTTCCACTGGGATAGTTATGTTTCATTATTTTATATTTTCTCCTGAAATTCTGTATATTGGTTAATTTTGTTGTCACTGTTTGTTTTGTTTACCCATCAAATTACCATATCAGCCTGTCCAGGGAGTGGAAGCAAACCAACAACATGGTTGTAATTAAAAGTTTCATTTTTGCCCTTTTATTGCTTTACAGATGCAAGATGAGTGATAAATTTCCTCTTAATTAGTCTACTCCATCCTCCTGTGGGTGCAGCTTTAATTACTAGCTTTCTTTCATTATCTAAATGATCTATGACTTAATAACTACTTTTGGTTTTTTAAAAAAACTTTTAAAGACTTTTCTTCTACATACAGAAACTTCTGCAACATTACAATCTTTGTGCCTTTTCCTACTTCATTTCCCTCATACTCAAAAGACGGAAATAACTTAAAAGTTAGAAAGTACTTTGGTTTCCAGTGTCTGCAATTTACTGAGAATGCTCTTGCTGAGATCACAGTTTATCTCCATGCCCACGAATCCAAAGGTCTCTAATCCTTTGTCCTTCGCAGCCTCCTTGAAACCAGTCTCAGCAAGTTGACCCAGTTTTCATCCAAAACCAGGGACAGGTGATATCTTTTGGTTGTTGTGGGTTTTTCGGGCTTTTTGGCCATGTTCTGAAGGTTGTTCTTCCTAACGTTTCTCCAGTCTCTGTGGCTGGCATCTTCAGAGGACAGCACTCTGGTGATATCTTCATTTGACAGCTAAAGTATATAAAACAGACAAGTTTTCAAGTCCAGCAGAACTCTTGGACTCAGAACTGTGGACTCAGTGCCACCAAACCTGAACCAACAAACAGCTCAAAGCCAAAACATTATCCTTGCTGGAGTTTGCAAGATAAGAATGTGAGTTGAAGGAGTGTCCCAAGATGAATGTTGCAAACCTGCAGAGCCACCTTGAGATACCAGCTGTTGCAAATTCAGTTGTCTTTCCAGATCATTACAGATAAAGGGCTCCCAATCACCTAGCACATTCTTCTTTGCCTTGTGTCAAAGCTTCCTGTTTGGCTGAGGAGCAGAAGGACACAGATACAAAGCCACAGAATCATAGAATCACAGAGTCATAGAAAAATGAAGTTGTAAGGGGCCTACAAGGCCATCAAGTCCAACCCCCTGCTCAAGGCAGGAACACAATCAAAGAATATCTGCCAGACGATTATCCGAGTTTTTCTTGAACACCCCCAGTGTTGAAGCACTTACCAATTCCAGAGGTAACCGGTTCCACTGTCATACTGCTCTAACAGTTAGGGTTTTACATCCCCACGTTAAATCAGCTTCAATGGACATTTTTTGCCACAACATCTGTAATGATTTTCGGCGCCTGCACTCTCCCCCATTCTTTGCAATGCTCAACTTAGGAAGAGTCCTGCCTGCCTTCAGTATCTTTAATAGCCCAGTGAAGGTATTATAGACTGGTCTTTGTGTTTTGGATTTGTTCAAGGACCACACAGCTTTGCCTCTTGTTCTTTTTTGGCTGCTTTAAAACACAGATTCCACTTCTTTGCCAACCTGCCAAGATATCCACTAGTCCGAATGTTATGTTTGCGGACACTAGTAGGATTTCGAAAGTATATGAGATATTTAAAGAGTCACAGAGTTGCTCTAAGTTGTGTTCTCCTGAGATTGCATTTGGCAAAGGGACTGTAGCCCAGCAAGAGGGCATGTGATTTGCCTACTGAAGGAAATACTTCAAGCCCCCCCCGAATTCCTGTTAAAGGACTAGACCTTGAAAAGCCACAGACCTTGGAAAAAAACCAAACCCAAACAAAACATTTTAAATTGTTACCTGAGAGTATAGTAGACTGGGATAGGAAATGTTTCATGCTCCACTGACATGCTCAAGTCCTTCCCTCACAAAGGCCTAAATATATTCGGTAGGACAAAGCAGAATGTTGTTGTTATGTGCTGTTATCTCTGCCTTCTGGTGGTCTTAGGAATGAGTGATACCCAGCATGTCATGGCTTCAGCAGCCCTGCTCAGCTCTTGCAATCTCAAGCCTACGGCTTCTTAGGAAGCTGGATCATCTTGTATTTGGTCTTCCTCTTTTCCTGCTGCCTTCAACCTTCTCCCCCATTATTGTCCCTTCCTGACAATCTTGCTTACCTGTGATGTGCCCAAAGTAGGATAACTTGTTTCATCATTTTTGTTGCCAGAGAAAGTTTAGGATGGATTTGCTCTTGGATCCCCTTGTTTGCCTTTGCCACCCCAACCCCGGAATAAAGACACGAGACATCAGTTTGGGTTAATGCGGGCCACACTTTTATTCAACTTAGTAATTCAAATAACCTGCCTATTGGCCAACCAAATATATGGGGGCCTGCTGTAGTGCGGAAAACCGAAAAACTGGGGAGAGAATCGTACTTACTTGTGATGTGCCCAAAGTAGGATAACTTGTTTCATCATTTTTGTTGCCAGAGAAAGTTTAGGATGGATTTGCTCTTGGATCCCCTTGTTTGCCTTTCTGGCAGTCCAGGTTATCTGCAAAGCACCACAATTCAAGTTACTCATTCCCCCCCGTCAGCTTTCTTTACTGTCCAGCTTTTACACTGGTACATGGTATGCAGAAATACAAGAATGTGAATGATCTTGATCTTGTTCTCCAGTACCACATCCGTACACTGGATGATCTTTTCTAGTTCTGCTTTATTCCAAGTTGAATAGATGCACTGAATCAGTAGGAATGATGTTTAACTGCTTACTTATGTCAATATATTCATCAACCAAGTCAATGGGTCTAATAATCTAAATGGAACTAGCAATATGCTGGCTTGTACATGGAACAGCTAAACAGCATTTATGCCTCAGCACTGGACCAATAAAATGACAGGCCACGTTGAGATTTTGCTCCTGGACCCCAGGAATAAAAAGTGTAAACTTGCATTACTGAAACTGTGTTTTCTTCCTTCTTTCAGAAGGAATCTGTTCAGTACAGTTCCTTAAAACTGCTGTTATGCTCCCTATTCTTCTCTAAAGTTGTCATGGTTATTTCCTGCTGTCTTTATCTGTTTCGCAGACCAAACCATCTCCTTTGTGTATTTGCTTCAATTTCCCCCCAGTTTATGGAACACCCTTCATGAACCAAGAAAAGAAAGGGCCAAAATAAAACCACGGGGGCATCCTCAAAAAATCAAGGGGAGGATAAAAAAAATTGTAAAGAGACACATTGGGACAGGTAGGCTGCCTGTTGGAAATATGAACAACAATAGAAATAAATGGGGGAAAATTCCTCCCAAAATCAAGAACAAAAGACCAAAATGGAAAGAATGCAAGATGGAGGCATAGAGGCAGGCAGGCAGGCAGCACAATCCAAAATGGAGGGTACCAGGAGTTCAGTAACACACATTAATTCCACACAGAAGGAATACCTGAAGCAGAGAGCACTTCTCACTTGATTTCAAGCAACCCAGGTCTTTTTTACAGATTCACAATTCCTATTCTCCGCAGACATTCTGATTGGCTGCTGACAACAGCCCTCACAGTGCTTTTGGATGATAAATTTCTTAGGGAATTTGACAGAGAAAGGGTGAAA